CGCCCCCAGCTGGCACGTCAGGGGCTCCACAGAGCCCGCAGGCCTGGGCCTTGCAGGCTGCCTCCCACCCTGCTCCAGGGTCCTGTCCCCTCTGGTCTCCGTCTGGCTGGGACGGCGCCCCCTCCAAGGAGCCCAGGGTCTCCACGGGCTGGAGACGCAGTCAGTGCAGACCCCGCAGTGCTCTGCACACGGCAGGGACAGCGCCTACCCCGTGTGCCTGTGGGGTACCCATCTCCCCCCTAGGCAGGCCTCCCGAGGCCGGGGCCCCGGCCCTGTGTCTCCATCTCCGTCAGATGCTCGGTGACGACAGCTGAGTGGAGCGAAGCAGGGACCCGACCACCTGGCCGTGGGCTCCACCGGCAGCCAGGCTCGGGCGCTGCCGCCACCTCCAGGAGGTGCAGCCGAAATCCCTCCTCCAGAGTGACGGGCTCAGCCCGAGGCTGGCCGAGCGTCACCAGCTCTCGCCTTCCGGCCTGTGCCGGCTGCAGGTGCAGCGTTTCCCGCTACGGGCTCACTGTCCCCAGTGCACTAGACGCGCGTGGGTGCAGCTCGCGCCCCCGTGAGCCCTCGTCGGTGTCTCCGAGCTGTCCCCACGTGTCCCTGCGGTGATCTGAGCGTTCTCGCTGCCCCTCGGGGGCAGAGACCATCAGGACAGCTCAGGGGGCAGCCCCCGCCCGAGGGAGCAAATGCTCGGCGAGAAACGTGGGCGCCGCATGTGCTTCAGGGGGTCTCGCGCCCAGCTGGCCGGCAAACACGGAGACAGCTGTGGCCACGGCACACAGTGCCTGCTTCACCGCAGCAACTGCTTCCGTCCACGGGAGCAAACTGACAGCTGGAGACTCCCTGGGAACTGCTCCGGCTCAGTGACAGACGGCGACAGGCCAAGAAACAAACCCGAGAAACCTTTTTCCTGGGAATTCCACTTAAAACGAACAAGCTGACCTCGCAGCAAAGTAGGACTTCGTCCGTGGCCAGAGAAACAACATCCCGCACAGTCTAACTAGAAACACGTGGGAAACGTTTATTTTCTCCAGAACGATGACATCATGATGAAGAGAGCCAGCTGGCGTGTGCAGATGCATAAACAGGAAACGGGACAATGACATCAAGCTCCTCGTCCCTCAGGCCCCAATTCTCCCAAACGACCTTAACTTGCTCTAACTGGTTTGCGAGTCTGTCTCTCCTTTAAATCAAGGGCACCATGGATGCAGGGTCAATGGTCTTATTGTCCCTTGTGTTACCAGTTCAAGGCACAGGGCCTGGGGCACAGCGGAGACCAGGAAATCTCTCCCCGGGGCGGATGGTTGGACAGACAGTGAGGCTGACAGCTCGCCAGTCGCTTGCATGCACGGACTCCCTACGCCCCTCAGTCAGGCATGCATCATGCGAGCAGCAGACTCGGTCAGGTCCCTGCCAGGGGCAGAAGAGCAGAAGCGAGGGCCACTTACAGTTGTTCTAGAGAGGAAAGTCCCTTAAACGCTTGCCTGTCAATTGACTGGATCTCATTCTTGTACAAATAGCTGAAACAAGAAACATGAGGGTTAGCACACACGGGGGGCCCAGCCTCAGGGGACCGGGAGTTACGACCACACGGGGCAGGTTTCAAAACTGAGAATGGTATTAGAGTACGCAGTGGCACAGTTCCCCTCACACAGGTCCCTCCCCGCACTCGAAGGGAAATGCAGTGAATCAGAGGGGAGCACTCCCCGCTGGAGGGGGCCCCCCAACATCACACGGCTTTGGAACACGTACAGGCCCTCGGGGCACCGCCTGGAATAGCGGACGACTCGCGGGCTTCACCGCCTGGAGAAGGCGAAACGGCCCCCCACGGTCGTGCACCTCGCACTGATTAAAAGATTCTGTGACCGATGTGGTTTTAAAACATTTGGAAATGATGTGGGGAGTTGACAGCAGGAAGGCTCAATGTGTCTTGACCTATTCACCCACCCGGAACCCATGGTCATAGGCATGGCAGAGTCACGTCACTGGCCCACTGCCTACTTGCGTGTGGCTGCAAGCTAAGAATACTCTTTACATTTTTAAATGGTCAAAACTCTCAAACGAAGAACAGGATTTCATGACGTAAAAATTACATGAAATTCAAATGTCAGTGTCCACGAAGTTCTGTGGGCCCCGGGCCTCGGGCCCCACCCACTCCATTCCTGTCATCCACGGCTGTGGCAGAATGGCCCACAATGCCCCCAGTATGTACTGCCTGGTCCTTCTCAGGGGATACCTGCCAACTCCAGAACAAACTCATCAAGGACAAAGCCCTTGACATTGCGTATCAGGACCATGGGCATGTGCTCAGTGCGGCTGCCTGCAGCAGAGTTCTGGGCTGGGCGCCGTGTAGGCATGAGGCCGGATTCTGAGATGTCCACATGGACAGGTGTACAGAGACACGCCCACTCCCTGCACCCCACACCGCACGCCGCCCCAGGCAGCAGCGACCCTCTACGTGGTCCCCGTAGCTGGGCCCTTAGCCTCCTACTCCGAGGACACGGTGCTTCGGCCCAAGGCTGCAACAGTGCCCACTGCACCCCAGGACGATGGGTCCCCCTGCCAATACCGCCTGGCGCAGGCCTGGCTCACTGCCACAACCCACCCTTGTGAACCTCTGCGGTGATCTCACAAAGGGCCACGAGCCACGAGCCCCAACACGAACCAGGACTACCCGCCTAGCAACAGCCCGCGCCCCAATAGCGGCCCGGTACGGTGGTCACCTCGCCAGGCTGCGTGGGCCCAGGCCTGTGCACTGCCACTTACTAGCTGTGTGGCTGGAGGGGC